AACGCCTCGTTCTCCACGTCCATAGTGTTCAGTCTGGTTCTGGCCTCCTCTAATCGTTGCTCCAGGAAGTCTCTTTCCTCCTTCTGCTTCTCCTTCCAAGCAGAAAGACCCTCAAATCTCTCTTTCATGGACAAGTTGGTCTGTTTCAGAGCCTCTGTGGGATGCATATAATGGCAGAGTGTTGTCATAAGTTATGGTGCATGAGTATGTATTGTGATTATGGCTGAAACTGGAAAGATGAGAGGCTATGGTGTAACCCGCACCTTTCAGGTCTCGGTTCTCTTTGATTAGCGTGTTCATTTGCTGGAGGGTCTCCTCTAAACTGCCCAGATTCCCTGGACCAGACCCACGTGGGTGACTAATGTCCCCATTCATCATCGATGATCCAGATGCCATGCTTTCTTTCAGAATCTGTTAAACTAGAGTTATGAAATACCACAACATGACTCTTATTTCAAGAAAGGTGTCTTGAACAGCACAGAATCAAAAGTGAAATCTTATATGCATGTTTTTACAAGATAAGTAAAATAAGTCTCTGATGTCCCTAGAGTATGTGAAATTTCAGCTCAAAATACCACACAAATATTTTTCTATAACTTGTTGAAAGTGGCCCCTTTTAGGCTTTGATACTAATTGTGTCAATTTGGTGCCTGTCACTTTAAATTCAAATGAGATTGTGCTCTTTTTAAAAGAGGGTGGAGCTACAATCAGCTATGCGTCAGCAGATTTAAAATAGGACTAACGTCCAAAGAAGTGGCTCAGAAGAAGGCGGTCTATTGAGACTAGTGTGCATCCTAAAACTCCACATTTATAATCCTTTTAGTCGCTGACTTTATCTTCAGCAGGTAAAAACTCGGCCGGCTGCTTCTCGCTCAAGGCTGTTTATGCTAATTAGAGAGAGATCACTAATGGGCGGGGCTTTCCCCCTCTGATGACATGTACAAAGGGGGAATGTCAATCAAAGTGTTTTGACAGACTGTTTTTATCAAGTGTGATTATTTAAAACATATTTAATTCATTTTTACTATTAGAGGCTGGATATATTTACGCACTGTTGCAACACAACTGTGTTTAAACCCCTTATGAATGAGGTTTTTGCATAATAGGTGCCCTTTCAACTTAAACAGGCAAATATATGCTTAAAATAACTTTAAAATATGAATAGAATTTTAATATTTTACAATAAACCAAAATAATCTATTCGAAAGGTATCTATAAACATTACTTTTGCATTTTAAAAATACCAACAGGAATTATATAATGCTTAGTTATTGTGTTCAGCAATTTACAAGTGGTAAACACTAACATGCATTATGATCCTGTTAACATGTTTTTCATGCTAAATATGCAGTGATATTAAGACTATCCTGCAAAGTATGTGCTGATGCTAGTTTGCTCAGTCAGTTGATCTAATCATTTAGTGATTCACATTAAAGGAAAAGTTCAATTCAATTCATGTTTATTTCTTTAGCGCTTTTACAATGTAGATTGTGTCTTCCTGTAAATTGAAACAGTGTCAGTCCAGTTTTCAGAGTTGAAGTTCAGTTTAGTTCAGGTCAGTGTGGGTTAATTTCACTTAAAGTCCAAACACTGAAGAGCACAACTCCCAAAACAAGCGAGTCAGTGCTGAGGAATAAACTTCACCAATTGACGAAAGTGAAGGAAAAAGAAAAACTAGAGAGAAACCAGGCTCAGTTGGGCACGACCATTTCTCCTCTGGTCAGATGTTGGTTTTATATTCACACATTGATTCATTGTTGAACACTGAAAACTTGTGACAGCCTCCCTATATTGTTTTTTCCAAGCTACTTTTAATATTCGGTCTAAAATTGCATGCAAGTATGACTTAAAAACAAGATTAGCACTAATTATTTAATTGTGAACAATGTTGTACTTTGATAGTCATTGGCTGCAAATATGATATTTAGAATTTTCAAAGAATATTTTTCTAAAATTACATTATTAAGAAAGAAGTGCGAATATTAAACCAACTTTACGCCAATATGAATCAGAATTAATTTTATTGCCAAGTGTGCTTCAGTTCACACACAAGGAATTTGTTTTGGCTACAGAAGCATCCAGTGTACATAAAGTGACAACACGAAAATAAATATAAATAAAAGACAATAAACATTAAACAGAGATGCAGTTGGTCAAAAACATCTGGATGTTGAATTGTATGTACAGATTTGTTATAAATATACAGGTTGCTGTGTGCAGACGCGTATGGAGAAAGTATTGCATTGTATATAAGGTGATATAAAGTGGTGTTATTCGCTGACTAATCAAATATGGATTTACTCGAACTTCGGATAGATGCTTTGAAAGATTGGCACTATGAGTAAAGAAGGCCATTCAAAGCTATTTTGTAGCTCCAAACTACTTCATAAGAGTGCGATAAGATCACGAAACAGTTCTCTATAATCTGTCATTTGGGGAACATGTGGAAACACACATACATGAGTGGTAAACAATGCTTTACTCAGGTTTCCTCATGAGACTGTCCGCTTATCTAAATTCTGACAGTTACAAAATCTCACCGAGACGTTTCACAAGACAATTGGTCACGAGAAAACGAAAGTTAACAAGGACATTTGCGATAGAAATTAAATAATAGTTAATCTCCGCTCCAATGTGTTTCATAAGTGCGCCGCATATTATAGGCAATATATATATTGATATTCGTTTATGTCAAGTTTTAAATAACTTTTTGCATTTAATAGCACTGTCATACTCACCAGGCGATCGCGTCTTGTGTACAGCAACTTGTTTTGGGAAATGCTGCTCTTCCTGATCCAAACGTCAGTGGAAAGCGCTAAACGCACATATATGATATCAAGAATGATTGGTGCGTTACAGTCAGCCTGACACAGGTTTATGTCTATCCACCTTCATATGGATCTACTGTAGCGCTGCTTCCATTCACTGCATTGAATCAGCTGACGGAGTGCGTCATGACGCGGACGGGATTTCCCTGCTGAGGTCATTCCGCGTGACGCACTCAGATATAGGCCGAATCGAGGGGCTTTTCGAGACCCCTATATTGATTTTAGTATGACAGTCATCATGATTTCCTATTTATGTGGAAATGCTGTGGGTGAAAAAAAAAAGCCTGGCACTTTCTTTCCATAACTTTTATAAATAGCTTTGGCATAATGTGCTTCAATACAGAAAACATAATAATAATAATAATAATAATAATAATAATAATAATAATAATAACAATAATAATAATAAAAATAATAATAGCAATAATAATACATTTTATTCAAAGCGTCTTTCAAGAAACTCAAGGTCACTGTACGACATATATACAATTATTATACAATAATTAAAAAAATCAATAAACTAACATGGATATATAAAATAGAGAAGATGATCAAATACAAAGACCAAAATACTAATTGGAGCAGTGCAGTTATGGTATTTTAATACACAATCATTAGTATTTGTAAGATAATGAAATGAGGATGCATTGAATTTTCATGGAATGTATTGACTTTGTTTGTGCACTAGATGGAGCCACAGAAACAGATCTAAATGCACATGGGTCAAGGACGTCCTTTTTAGTGTCCAAATAAAACTTTGAGGAAGGCCTAATACTTTTCAGGGATATTAAATGCATGATCCATCATCCATCAAATGCATTCTTATTCTGATTTGTAGTTATTAAATAATAAAAAAGTGATCATGCACTAAAAACATAATTATTCATTCATTTTCCTTAGGCTTAGTCCCTTTATTCATCAGGGGTCACCACAGCGGAATGAACTGCCAACTTATTCAGCATATGTTTTGCTCAGCGAATGCCTTTTTAGTTGCGAACCAGTGCTGGGAAACAACCATACAATCATTCACACACTTACAATACAGCCAATTTAGCTTATTGAATTCAGCAGTTTTGGTGTAAAGTGAATTCTCACAGTCGGTGGTCTGTTACAGTATACATACAGAGTTATTTATATAAATCGTCACCTTAGAATTATAAGGTTGACTTTTTGACTTAGAATTATAAGGTTATGTGACTTTTTTTGTCAAAATTGAGTTATTAACATATTTTTATTAAATGACACCTTATTTACATTATGGGATTTTTTTTACAAGTTGTCTACATTTTAAGATGTTTTATTTTGAAAACAAATGGTACCCACATACTGTTTGCTAAATGGAATGCAAAAACTTTAAAGCTCAATATCTCAATCATTCAGAACACAGATAGAACCGTATAATTCCAAGGTGCATGACGAAATGATGATTAACAGAGCAAGGCATTTTTTACAGCATGTCTGATAATATTTTTTTTCTTCTGGAGAAAGTCTTATATGTTATATTTTTGGCTGGAATAAAAGCAGTTTTTAATTTAAAAAATGTAAGGTCAAAATTATTAGCCCCCTTAAGCAATATATTTTTTGATTGTCTACAGAACAAACCATCATTATGCAATGATTTGCCTAATTACCCTAACTTAGTTAGCCTAATCAACCTAATTGAGCCTTTAAATTGCACTTTAAGCTGAATACTAATATATTGAAAAATATCTAGTCAAATCAATCGTAATCAGTAATCAATTCTTAGAAATGAGTTATTAAAACTATTATGTTTAGAAATGTGTTTCTTTGCATTAAACAGAAATTGGGGGGAAATATACAAGGGGGTTAATAATCCAGGAGGGCTAATAATTCTGACCTTAACTGTATATAAGGACAGAAAATTAGTCCAAAAAGAGAATGCAGCTGTGCGGCTGGTGATAAACGCAGGACGCAGCTCCTCTATTGGCTGTTTAAACTCCAGCGCGTCCGATTGGCCTGAGACAAACTTTAGGGGTGATGGATCGAGGAGGAGCAGGACGTGGGAACTTTTGCTCCTGAACCCACACCAGTCCGGACAGGTCAAGACTATGCGAAGTGGCCCTGGATAAACCTGCATGGGCGCCTTCACTTTCCACTGAATCTGTAAACTGAGCACTTTTTACGCGCGCGTATACTTACTGGCACGGGAAGCATGCACCTTGCGCTTCTGCTGACGCTGGGTTTCGGGTTCGCGTTTGCATGCCAGCTTCCGAGCGAGTGGCGACCCCTGAGCGAGGGTTGTCGGGCTGAACTCGCCGAGATTATCGTGTACGCCAAGGTGCTGGCCATCCACGAGGAGCCGTACGCGTCCAGTCTATATAACTATCTGCCGTACCAGAAGCACGAGCGCGCCGAAGACGCGCTGCTGTACGCGGCGGAGGTGGAGTTGCTATGCGACCAGGCGTGGGGCAGCATGCTGGAGGTGCCCGCGGGTTCACGCCTCAACCTCACGGGACTCGGATACTTCAGCTGTCAGTCACACACGGTGATGGAAAACAACTCCTACATATTCTTTCTCAGGTGGGTTCACTTTATGTGCAACCAATAATCAGTTGCATGATTATAAGTTTTAGTTGGGTGGATATTGAATTGAAACAAATATATATATATATATATATATATATATATATATATATATATATATATATATATATATATATATATATATATATATATACTCTATATATAGCCTATGTATTTTGTTATTGTTTTCTGCGTTAGACACTATACTAAATTATATTTAGTGGAATAAAGCATTCTTAAAAATGAATTGAGAGCTACTTTAGCCCGAATCCCAACAGGTTATTTTACCTGAATCAAAACTTAAAGTGATGGTTCATCCTAAACTGAAAATTCTGTCATTGTTTACTCTCCACTTGTCTGGAGTTATTTATTCTGTTGAACACAAAATAAGCTATTTTTAAAAATGCTGGAAACCTGTAACCATTGACTTCCATAGTATTTGTTTTCCCTACTATGGAAGTCTATGGTTACAGGTTTCTAACCTTTTTCAAAATAGCTTATTTCGTGTTCAACATGAAAACCAAAAAATTTGAGGGAGAGTAAGTTGTGAGTAAATTAAAATATTTAGGTGAACTATTCCTTTACTGGATCATGAGATTCCCAAACAACAGAGTGGTTTTTGAATCAACCAACTCACATACAGGCGACACAGTGGCACAGTGGGTAGCACAATCGCCTCACATCAAGAAGGTTGCTGGTTAGAGCCTCGGCTGGGCCAATTGGCCTTTCTGTGTGGAGTTTGCATGTTCACCTCTTGTTCACGAGGGTTTCTTCCGAGTGCTCCGGTTTTCTTCACAATTCCAAAGACATGCGGTATAGGTGAATTGGGTAAGCTAAATTCTCCATAGTGTATGAGTGTGATTGAGTGCGTATGTGTGTTTTCCAGAGATGGGTTGCAACTAGAAGGGCATCCGCTGCGTAAAACGTTTGCTGGAATAGTTGGCGGTTCATTCCGCTGTGGCGATCCCAGATTAACAATGGGACTAAGCCGAAAAGAAAAAGGAATGAACATACTCAGATATTCCTTTGGACTTCCAACTTGAAACAAACTGCTAAAGTAATAGTTAATTTATGATGTTAAATTAATGCCAAGATTCAGACCCATATTGGGATAATCAGAAGAACCAAATATACATTATTAAAATTAAGTATAGATAAAATTAAGGTTATAAATATAGTTAAGTAAGAAAATTAAGATGGTTATTTTAGTTTAACCATATAGTAACCATCAATTCACCATGGTTTTGCTACACAAACCATAGCTTAACTATGGTATTTCATTTATTGATTTTCCTTTGGCTTAGTCTCTTATTTATCAGTGGTCACCACAGCAGAATGAACTGCCAACTATTCTGGCATATGTTTCACACAGCAGATGCCCTTCTAGCCGCAACCCAGTACTGGGAACTATGGTATTCGAAGTAAAACTGATTTCATGTGCTAGAAAAGCAATGACTCCAGTTTTACTTTAATGAAATGTTTAACTATTCATTTTTGTAAGGGATTGTGTGCACAATTAACATTAGGAACTGAATGGATTTTGTTTTTTAAATTTCAGTCTAAGTATTTTTTTATAATCCGTTATATTCAAGTTAAGTCATCATATCAGCCATTAACACATTCTCACAGGTACATCCATACAAACATTGTGTGTGTGTGTGTGTGTGTCTCCTAAACAGGATGGACGAAAACTACAACATCCTCCCGCATGGAGTTAACTTCCAGGATGCCATATTCCCCGACACGCTGGAGAACAGACGCCTGTTTTCCAGCCTCTTCCAGTTCTCAAACTGCTCTGGTGGACAGACAATGCACAACTTTAATAGCGATTGGGAGAGCCAGGAAGACAGCAGGGTACGGCACCAATAAACACACACACACACAGATGGGGTCAACACGCACTGCAGTGGGAGGAGTAAATGAATCTGCCCTTTCCTGTGGTTTGTAATGTAATGGGCAGCACAAATATCTTGATACCTCAGGCTGTTGATGTTGCCATCCACCCTGTAGATCTCTCACACTCCCCTATACATGAATGTAAACCCAAACCATGATTTTTTTCTTCACCAAACTTGACTGATTTCTGTGAGAATCTTGGGTCCATGTGGGTTCCAGTAGCAGTATTTGTGATGATTGGGTGCAGTTCAACAGATTATTAATCAGAAAAATCTGCCACTTTTCCAAATGATCAACTAGAAGTCAAGTTATTATTTATTGCTCTTACAACTGGCATTGATGACAAGACTTTTGTATTGCGATCTGAATATAATTTCACTGGATGACTTGAATAAATATTTGGGAAAAAATTAATAATTTAAAATTATTTAGGATGATTATGGTTCTGTAGAGGAGTGCATTTGCGTAAAATTTAATAAACAATCTACAAGCATAGATAAATACAAAAAAAAAAAATAAATAACAATCATCAGCGTTTGATTGTTTCCAAGGAGTCTAACAGCATTCAGTAAAATACAAAAATTGAATAATCAAATGTAAAATAATACTGCATAGTCTTCGTTGTATGAACAATTCAATACCATTTATCATTACTAATTTTTTTAAATACAATTTAAGTACAATTTTCTATGCCTAAATGCTTTCAAATTCCTCATGGCTCAAAAAACACATGCAAATGATCCATTATAATACAGACTCATATCATGCGACTATTGCGAATGCTCACATTGCGATATCGATGCTGAAACTGATGCAGATTTAACATTTGCAAGCAGAAAGTGATCCGTCTTGTGAAGACGAGGCATAAATCTGCATGCATACGATTGAGTGCATCATTAGGGGCAGACGTTCAAAGCAAGTTCGGCCTTTCGAAACGACTCCGTTGTAAATTCAAGAGGCTCGTAAAAGGCTTTTTATGAACGCCACAGTGTCTGCATGCACAGCTGTTTTATTTTTACCTGTGAAAACACCAGCCCCATTCTAATAGTGCGTCTGATATCTAGAGACGAAACAACTAAAGCTGCAAAAACGAATCAAGGATTCTGATTGGCTCCAGCCGAAAAGGTGCAAGTAGCACAGGAAGTGAGAATAACACGAAAGTAACATGTTCCAGTTCTCATGGGTGATCTGGTTCATAAAGTGCACACGTAAACACACAACTCCCTTTCTTTGGTGGTCTTTTGTATTGATGACTGTGACTGTTCGGGAATTCAAGAGCTCATTCGGCTTGATAGAGACCGGATTAAAGACCTCCCAGCTAGAGCTGCTTTACCTTACACACACACTCTCTCTCTCAGAGTCAGCCTGTCCCACCTAAACCCACACATCTGCCACTGAAAATATAGCTGAGATAGAACATAAAGAAAGAAGAGACGTCAGCTGGACATCCTCTTGGGGAAAGGCGGTGGGTTTTGAAAGGAAAATAAATCAGGCGTTTGATGTGGACGGTTCGAGGCAGAATGGGAGGAATGTCAGGGGTCCTCGGGGGTTATAGAGGATGAGAGCATATAAAACACACACACACACAGACACACAGTATCACTGTTTGCCTTAATGAGATTAGCCTGCTGTACATTCACTCACATCAAACACGAAGCCGCTCATTAGTCGGACTGTGGTCTGAGAGGAGAGGGGTTCATTTTAAGGCAAACACAATGAGAAGCCAGAATGTACAGATAAATAGGCACTGAAAGCCGAAAACAGTGATCAGCTCTGGGTCAACGCTTTCATATTTGGTAATATACAAACATGAGGGGAGTGGGGATCTCCCTCTTTATTCAGTTAAACATATACAGTAGTACAAAAAGGACTTGGCCTGTAGTAAAAAGAAACAAGTAGTAAAATAGGTTTGATAAATAATTAATTTCAACCGGTAAAACAAGAAATCTACTGTTCAAAATAAAGATAAGAGTCTGAATTGTTTACTTATTAACTAATGTAGATTAATAAAGATAACAAAATGATTAATTATATATTATTTATTCATTTAATTATTAGTGGTAGGCTGCACGGTGGCACAGTGGGTAGCGCTGTCGCCTCACAGCAAGAAGGTTGCTGGTTCGAGCCATGGGTCAGTTGGCATTTCTGTGTGGAGTTTGCATGATTTCCCCGTGTTCACGTGGGTTTCTTCCGGGTGCTCCGGTATCACCACAGTCCAAAGACATGTGGTATAGGTGAACTTGGTAGGCTAAATTGTTCGTAGTGGATGTGTGTGAATGAGTGTGTATGGATGTTTCCCTGTGATGGGTTGCAGCTGGAAGGGCATCCGCTGTTTAAAAACATATTCTGGATAAATTGGCGGTTCATTACGATGTGGCGACCCCTGATTAATAATAGGAATAAGCCGAAAAGAAAATGAATGAATCAACCTAAATAGCATTTGCTATTTAATAAAAATACATTAGTGCTCAGATATTTTGTTGGATTACTGTAAGTAATATTATATTGCACATTAAGTCAGATCTTATTGATCTTTATTTGTTTATTTTTGTTATTGATTTCAAAGCACCGTTTAATAGAAAATAAAAATAGTAAAACTGAAAATTATTTTTTTAATGTAATTTATTTGTGTTAGGGCAGAGCATCTTGGGTATAGTCTATGAACCTTTGGTTAATTCATTTTTAATTTATATAATAATTGACAGGCGTCAATTTATGGTATTGCAAACGAATATAAACAACTTGAATGCATCATAAACTGCTAGAAGTGTCTGTACCTTGTATTCCTTACATTGTGGGGACCAAATATCAAAAGTATAGTAACACTAGTACATTTTGACCTTGTGGGAACATTTTGTGGTCCCCATGAGGAAAACAGCACATGTAAAGTATTCTGAAAATGTAAAAATGCAGATCTGTTTGTCTGTCTCTGTCGGCAGGGTCCATACGACCCTGGAAAAACATGAAATAAAAATTATCTGGCATGGATTAATTAATGTCTGGCTACTTGAGCATATTTGACATGATAATATTGGGGAAAGTTTAAGTACAACTGCGCGGATTATGTCTTTACGAGATGTTCATTGCGTGGGGTAAAGAAAAGCAACTCATTAATTGTAGTTCAAGTTACATTTTGAGCCTGCTGTCTAGAAAAAATTTAACTACAGGGGTAAAAAAATTAAATAAAATCTTACTTTTGATTTTTTACAACTAAGGAAAATGTATTTTCAGGTATATACACGGTATTGCAAACAAATATATACAACTTGTATGGGTGAGGGTGGGGTTTAGGTGTAGGGGGATAGAATATACAGTTTGTACAGTAGAGACATCAGTACGTCCATGCATAAAGTCCCCATAAAGATAGCTGTACAAGTGTATGTGTGTGTCTATGTATGTCTGTGTTAGAGGCATTGACTTGTGTGTGTCGGTGTTAGAGGCATTGACCTGTGTGTGTGTGTGTGTCTGTGTTATAGGCATTGACCTGTGTGTGTGTCTGTGCATGTTTATGTTAGAAGCAGTGACCTGAGGAGGCGCAGGATTCTTCTAACAGGTGTTTACTGCTTTAAACAGATGTGACCGGCCCTCGGTCTACATGCAACGAGGAATATTCTGGTTCAAAACAACTGAAGCTCTATTAACAGCCTCCTTACTGAACCCTGAACTTTCCATCAAATACTTTCGCGTTTATACAGGTATCGCAGCTCATAAAAGACACGCATGGACACTTCAGTAATCATATCTCTACAGAGAGAGAGAGAGAGAGAGACAGATAGAGAGACAGACAGATGCAAAGAGAAAAGATAATGATGGAGTGTGTGTGCTGCAGGAACAGGTGGGGGTGATTATCAGGCCCGGGAACCTCAGAAAGATAATGAGAGTGCTTTTACACGGGAGCTTTCCTGTGGGAAAAGGATTGCTCGAGGCCGCCTCAGGGACTTTTGTGCTCTTGTGAGTGTAGCCAGTGCAGTGTCTCCCCCTGCTTCCTTTACCATCCATCTTAAACACACATTATACAGTATTAAATGCTAATTAGATTCAGACGAATGCAAAAACACCACTGCTTTTGGTACACACTGCAAATCATCTGAATGAATGTTCCCAACGTTCTGTCTGTCTGTCTGTCTGTCTGTCTGTTTCTGTCTGTCTGTTTCTGTCTGTCTGTCTGTCTGTCTGTCTGTCTGTCTGTCTGTCTATCTATCTATCTGTCTGTCTGTCTGTCTGTCATTCTATCTATCTGTCTGTCTGTCTATCTGTCAATCTATCGTTCTATCTGTCTGTCTGTCATTCTATCTATCTATCTATCTATCTATCTATCTATCTATCTATCTATCTATCTATCTATCTATCTATCTATCTATCTATCTATCTGTCTGTCTGTCTGTCTGTCTGTCTGTCTGTCTGTCTGTCTGTCTGTCTGTCTGTCTGTCTGTCTGTCTGTCAATCTTTCGTTCTATCTATCTATCTATCTATCTATCTATCTATCTATCTATCTATCTATCTATCTATCTATCTATCTATCTATCTATCTATCTGTCTGTCTGTCTGTCTGTCTGTCTGTCTGTCTGTCTGTCTGTCTGTCTGTCTGTCTGTCTGTCTGTCTGTCTGTCTGTCTGTCTGTCTGTCAATCTTTCGTTCTATCTATCTATCTATCTATCTATCTATCTATCTATCTATCTATCTATCTATCTATCTATCTATCTATCTATCTATCTATCTATCTATCTGTCTGTCTGTCTGTCTGTTTCTGTCTGTCTGTTTCTGTCTGTCTGTCTGTCTGTCTGTCTGTCTGTCTGTCTATCTATCTATCTGTCTGTCTGTCTGTCTGTCATTCTATCTATCTGTCTGTCTGTCTATCTGTCAATCTATCGTTCTATCTGTCTGTCTGTCATTCTATCTATCTATCTATCTATCTATCTATCTATCTATCTATCTATCTATCTATCTATCTATCTATCTATCTATCTATCTATCTATCTATCTATCTATCTGTCTGTCTGTCTGTCTGTCTGTCTGTCTGTCTGTCTGTCTGTCAATCTTTCGTTCTATCTATCTATCTATCTATCTATCTATCTATCTATCTATCTATCTATCTATCTATCTATCTATCTATCTATCTATCTATCTATCTGTCTGTCTGTCTGTCTGTCTGTCTGTCTGTCTGTCTGTCTGTCTGTCTGTCTGTCTGTCTGTCTGTCTGTCTGTCTGTCAATCTTTCGTTCTATCTATCTATCTATCTATCTATCTATCTATCTATCTATCTATCTATCTATCTATCTATCTATCTATCTATCTGTCTGTCTGTCTGTCTGTCTGTCTGTCTGTCTGTCTGTCTGTCTGTCTGTCTGTCTGTCTGTCTGTCTGTCAATCTTTCGTTCTATCTATCTATCTATCTATCTATCTATCTATCTATCTATCTATCTATCTATCTATCTATCTATCTATCTATCTATCTATCTATCTGTCTGTCTGTCTGTCTGTCTGTCTGTCTGTCTGTCTGTCTGTCTGTCTGTCAATCTTTCTATCTATCTATCTATCTATCTATCTATCTATCTATCTATCTATCTATCTATCTATCTATCTATCTATCTATCTATCTATCTATCTATCTATCTATCTATCTATCTATCTATCTGTCTGTCTGTCTGTCTGTCTGTCTGTCTGTCTGTCTGTCTGTCTGTCTGTCTGTCTGTCTGTCTGTCTGTCTGTCTGTCTGTCAATCTTTCGTTCTATCTATCTATCTATCTATCTATCTATCTATCTATCTATCTATCTATCTATCTATCTATCTATCTATCTATCTATCTATCTATCTGTCTATCTGTCTATCTGTCTGTCTGTCTGTCTGTCTGTCTGTCTGTCTGTCTGTCTGTCGTTCTATCTATCGTTCGTTCTATCCATCCACCCACCCATCCACCCATCCACCATTTTATCGTTCTATATATCTCTCTCCCTCTCTCTCTCTCATTCTCACTCGTCTCTTCTACTTGTTTGCCTTCTTTTTCTTTTCTCAAAAACAGTCTATTGTTATAGATGACTCATTGGCCATCACATCTGGCTCTAGTTTGGGTCTGAAAGCAAAATAGGCTATGTGTGGCTCTTGTTGCTATAAATACACATCACTCACATTAAGAAGAAACCTTATTATGTCAAATACCTTCAGCAAATAGCTGTTTACATAGTTTTACAAGCAAATGATCGACCGTAAGGTCTTGTGAATGAACAGAGATGTTTATTCCAGTGTGTGTGAGAGTGTTGTTTTAGGTGTGTGGCTCTTCACCTGTCAGGGTGTCATGTAGTTTGGTGAAGCTGTCATTTGGAGAGTGCTGGTGTTGTTACACCAGTGGGTGTTCTGTTTGGACAGTAGGACACAATGATAGTCCTTCTCATGACTTCTTATTTGCTGCATACATTTATATCTGGGAAAGGTTTTAAAAGGCTGCATTTTTTCTTCACTTTATATATATATATGAGCAATATCACACGAGTAGCAGTGCGATATGGCTGTATATCGGCACTGGTGGGAGGCGTGCGCCTTAGTGCCCCTACCAGTGCCGATATACAGCCATATCTCACTGCTACAAGTGTGATATTGCGTTTATACAACAGTTTGACGGCATAATTGTGTATATAAAAACTAAATCAAACATGGACTCAAAAACATAGTCTCAAAAACCCTTTTGTATGAGGAACTACTTTCTTCCGGATTCAAATCATAAGCTGACAGTTAAACAGTTGAGTGTGCATCTTTTAAAATTCAGATCTGTAGTGTCTGCTTTATGCTGGTTGTATGTGGGCGAAGTAATACACAAAGGGTAAAGAGGCTGTAGGAGTTCTGATATTGCAGAATATCGCATTACTATCAGCCAATCAGATTTGAGAACCAGACAGAACTGTTATATATATATATATATATATATATATATATATATATATATATATATATATATATATATATATATATAGGTCCAAATAATTAGCCCTTCTGAGTTATTAGACCCCCGTATATATAACAGGAAATATTTTTTTTTTCAAACACATTTCTAAACATAAAAGTTTAACTAATTTCTAATAACTGATTTCTTTTATCTTTGGTATGATGACAGTACATCTTATTTGACTAATTTAGCTTAAAGTGCAATTAAAAGACTTTACTAGGGTAATTAGGCAAGTCATGGTATAACGACAAGTGTTGTAGTGTTTTATAAATCTTGCCACAATGAGGTAGCATTATTCTCACAACTCGTCAATTAAATATTAAAAAACTATTTATTAGAATCAACAAATTGCTTTCAGCAGAGTATGAATAATCTCAAAAAACCTTTACTGTATAAAATATAATCTGCAGGAACAAAAACAGAGTGAACTTGAAAGAGCTTTGGCCACAGATATGCTTGTAATACTAGTGCTATGTAAAAATACCAAGCATAACGTTATCACAACTGCCATTCATGTTTACATTCATTTGCTTTGTGCAATTAGATCATATGGTGTCCGTTGACATCATGTACCACAAGAAGAACTTATTTACAATGAGGATTTGGGACTTTCCGCTGTTCAGAGTGAACATACGGCCTCCCATCGCTCAGATACACACAGAAGCAGCCATGCAATCACACAAGCTCCACATGTGCACACACACACAGCATGCCTCGGCTTGTGTCTACTGTGGGCATGACAGCAGGCCACTTTTGAAATGCCTCCTTCATACACATACACACACTGACATATGTGCGGGCTCAGAGAAGAAAGACATGGCTTAACTAGAAATAATAAGGTCTGGGATGAGGTCGCATTGTGTGTTGACCTTTTAATTATTATTTTTTTTGTTTAGAGGTAACTAAACAAAAATTTTACAGAACTCTAAACAATTTTTTGTTTAGAGTTCTGTATAATTGAGATGGCACTGCAGTTATATTCAACATCTCATTTAGACTAATTTGTCTCTAAGTTCTGTTCATTTTACCTTTCATTAACAAGTAAGACCAGCAGGGGGGCGCTTAACCTGCAGCCTGTGTGGGTCTTAATGCCCTAGTATATTGATGAGGACTCTATACTGCTCAGTGAGCACCGTCTTTCAGGTTTAGACGTTTAACCAAGGTTCTGACCCTCTGTGGTCATTAAAAAATCCCAGGATGTCCTTCAAAAAAAGAGTAGGGGTTTACCCCAGCATCCCAGTCAAGCGCTATATAAATGTAAGAAATTATTATTATTATAACAAACTTGCACAACAGAAAGGGCATTGGTGAGAAAACAGCAATCGAAAAAGCAACTGTTCATAATCTTATTTATTTACCATGCACTTCATATAAATAAGAGCTATACAGTATGTATTTTCAGTCCTGAAAATCAGAAAAATTAATTTTTTCTGCACTGATTTTATTTGAAATTACATCACACCAGTTGATTCTTAAATTCAATTTGTATATATATATATATATATATATATATATATATATATATATATATATATATATATATATATATATATATATATATATATATATATTTAATTTTATGAGCTGAAAATCTAACACAGAATAAAAATTAACACATATAAATATAAAAACAAAACTATCAAAATACTATTATGCCCCTCGCTGCTGGAATCAGCTTCCAGAAGTGATCAGATGTGCTCCAACATTAGGCGCATTCAAATCAAGACTGAAAACACATCTGTTTAGCTGTGCCTTTACTGAATGAGCACTGTGCTGCGTCCGACAGATTGCACTATTATGTTTTTCTCTTCTTCTTCATTCTTTTATATTACATTTTACCCGTGTTTATGTTGTTTTTTTTACTCATTTTTATTATTTGTTTTTATTTATTTTTTCTTGTTTCTTCTATTCTTGTTTATGTAAAGCACTTTGAATTGCCACTGTGTATGAAATGTGCTATATAAATAATCTTGCCTTGCCTTGCCTTGCCTTGCCTTGCCTAATAAAACCACTTGTTTGGTAAACAAAGCTATGTTTTTCATATAATGCACCCACTAAAAGACATAAAATATTACTTTACGTATTGTATATAATTTATCTAACCATTTGCATATTATTCAATATTATTACTAAAATGATTATAAAAATTGAACAATAATATGATTACTCAAATTTACAGAGATACATAAGAGGTTCAATGATTAGCTCAAAAATCTTCGGATTTCTGCACGTACTGTGTGTGGGTCTACAGTACTCACAACTAGGGCCAGACAGAATCTATTTGGCATTTTTTGCTATTTCTGAGAATTTTTTTTTTAATTCTGCGGATTTATGCAGAATAATTTTGGGAGTATCATAACTAAAAAACTAAATATAATGTGCTAAATATCTGTGGAAATCTGCAAATTTTTGCGCATGCAGATTCCATGTGGGCCTACAATACTCATAAGTGACCATCCCTCCTTGTTTTTTTTCATGTTTTAGCTGCTGTGTTCCTCCATGCAGAAGGTTTTGTTTGAGGAGGAGGAGCGGGTCGGACAGCTTGAGGAGCGTGTGGCCGAGCTGGAGAGGAAGAACCAACAATTAAAAGAACGAGTGGGAAAACTGAGGCATTCTCTGAGGAAAACCCGGAAGGTGCTGCGCCGTGCCGAGCGGGAACGCCAGGAGTTTCATGAGCGTCTTAAGACGGCGGAGAGACATGCAGGACATCACCTCAATGCCATTCCACCCCAACACAGCCCTTCACAACACAGATACACACATGGACTGTGAGCTTCAGCATACACTCACATTTACAAAATGGACTCATGGGGCTGCAGGGCAGTCTGCAAAATTCATTAAAAACTTGTACATAATTTGGTAACACTTTATTTTGATGGTCCACTTGAGTATTAGTAGACTGTCTGCTTAATATCTGTTGATATGCTCCTTCAGCAGACATTTAGCTGACTATAAGAAACTTATAGTCAACCCCATCCTAACAGTCTACTTATAATCTAATGAGAATTAGTTGCAAATTTAACAAAATCAACAAACAGACCAACAAAATAAAGTGAACCATAATTTTTATGTTGAAAATTGAAAATGAAGACTTTATGACTTACAAATGACTTCTTAGTGCAACCTAATGTAATGGTGTAGACTTTTATAGGGAATTAAAGCAGATAACTTTGATTAGGTGAATGTTAAGAGCCGTAAAACATATCTACAGTGCTTAACTTTAACATTTCAAAGGCACAGTTCACCCAAAAGTTTTATATTTTTGAAAATTTGAAGAGTTCAGAAGCAAAAAACTCCAAGTGCCAGCTGTAATCTTCTTCTACACTCTCAGAAAAAAAGGTACACGGTGGTACAAAAATAATTCCTTAAAGAACAGTTTTGTACCTTTGTAAAAATTGTACCTTAAATAGTACAGAAAAGAGCTCTTATGATACTGTTCTGTACCTTTTATGGTACAAATTCAAATTGAGGTACACAACTGTTCTCATTAGAAAGGTACATAAGTGTAGGACAACTCAGTCTTTATTACAATATCTATGAAAATAAATATGACTGGAAAGGCAAAGTGATTTATGAATAATTTCCATATAAAACATGTGTCATCCTTTAAAAGCACATGTTTAAAGAAACTCAAACATTAAGTTCGATAATACAAAACAACTGGTAAAACAAAAATATAGGTTTTGTAAACTAAACATATAAGCATTTTTAATAAAAGTTTAGTAAGTATTTTCTAATAGATACATTTTCATTATTGATATCCACTATCAATTTGCTTTCCACTACACACACGAGCTAGCAAAAGTCCTGCACATATAAAGTGTTCATGCAGGCATTTTATTATTGTAAAACTAATCAAACATTGTGCATATGTGTCAATACTTCTGCATAATTCTATTTCTGTTTTAAAATTAGGTCAATTAAATTAACTTTTAGATTATTACAAAGGTATTGTGTGAAAATTGGAGGAAAAAGTTTTATATTGTACATGGGAAAATGTACTGCTGTAACATTTTTGTGAAAAGTGTTGTGAAATGCTTAGAAAAAATTTACCTTTTGATTTATGTTAAAGTATTTTTTTATTCTTTATTGTAAATTGAAAATAGGTATTTACACAAAACACGATGTTTTGTAAACTAAAACATTGCTTAATAAATGTGTTTGATGTTTTATATTTACTAAAACTAAACTGACACATTTTGAATATAGCAAAATGCCTTTAAATAGTTCTTGAAGGAACACATTTGACACTGTTAAAGTACAAAGTGTCTTGTCACTGTAGTGGTACCTTCATGGATTAGATTTGTGCCTTTGATGAAGGTACCATATTGTATCTGCAGGTTTTAAAAACTAAAGAGACATTTTGGTTTCCCATGGCACAAATCATGTCCTTAAAGGTACAAACTGCAATGGTACAAATTTGTTTCTTTGTCTCAAGGTACAATTCTGTTCCATAAAAAGGTACTGCCCCAGTTACAAGGGTTTGCACCTTCTTTAGTACAACATTGTTCCATTTTTTCTGAGAGTGTACAATGAGCATTTTCTCAGCCTCCTATGTTTATGTTCAACAATTTCATGTTTAAAGTGATGAAAATAACCTATTCTCTGACATGAAAGTGAAATTACTGAATCAAGACATGGGAGCCTGAGAAAAAAGTTAACATTAGAAGAAAATTTCAGATGACTCTTAGAGGTTTTTGCATCTGAACTCTTCATTTGTTTTTGTTCCCTTTGATTTCTATTGGATTTTTGTCCATACAGTTGGAGCCAAAAGTCTTATGTTACCACAATTCTTCAAAATATCTACTTTTGTGTTGCACTGAAGAAATAATACATATTTAGGAGCAAAATGTATTCAGTTTTGGGTGAACTGTGCTTCTTAAAGTCTAAGATGTTAGTTTCAATATTGTTAGTTTTTAAGATATCTATAAGCTAGTGTATCCAAAACAGTGACCGATATTGCGTTAAGAACAAATAAAACTGATTTAAACACATAAACATCTCCGCTTAAACGGTTTTATTCAGGTCACCTCATACTAAAGTTTCTCATCAAATCGTGACCGATCACATGCTCTCTAATATCTGACATCAATAACATCACCCTGTCTGCTTACGTCCAACAACGCAACATTAAGCGTCTCCGCCCTTCTCTTACCCCTCATGCCACTACTGTTCTCATCCACAGCCTTGTCACATCTCGTTTAGATTACTGAAACTCCCTTCTCTTTGGTCTCCCTCATAAATTCCTTCGTAAGCTTCAGTTGGTCCAGAACTCAGCCGCCTGTATCATCACCAGAACCCCTTCTTCTCATCACATCACCCCTGTCCTGCAGCAGCTTCATTGGTTAACTGACTATTTTCGAATTGATTTTAAAATGTTGATGTTAACATTCAAAGCCATCCACAATCTCACCCCTCCATATTTGTCTGCCCTCATCCACATTTCTGTTCCTTCTCGCACCCTGCGATCTTCTTCCTCCCTCCACTTGTCTGTTCCCTCTGCTCGTCTATCATTCAGCCGCTCTGCTCCCCGGCTCACTACCACCTGCCATCAGACACATTGACTCCCTCACACTATTCCAATCAAGACTCAAAACCCACTTATTTAAGATGGCTTTTAATACTTAATTGATTAATTTTATCTGCACTATTGCTGTGCATATTTTTATTATTTCTCTTGTTGTTTTATTGCTCTTGTTTTATTGTACGGTGTCATTGAGTTGCCAGAAAGGCACCTTTAAATAAAATGTATTATTATTATTATTATTATTATTATTATTATTATTACGTTCCGCCGCCTTAAAAACACTTCTCAATTGATGCACTCAAGCTCAACCACTTTCACTGGCAGAGCAGTGATAAAACAAAATGCCATTGGCTGTTTTTTTAAAAAGGGGAGGAGCTACATTATGTCCCACCCACTTGTCATGTTAGAATAAAAAATACACATTTCAAAGCACTTCACGACACCTTTAAGGTTCGTCCATTCGCCTGTCCGTCCATTCCTTCGTCCGTTCCCTCATCCATTCCATCGTTCGTTGAATAGTACAATAAGACAATATCAGTTTGCAACATAAAGTATTAGAGCGAGCTGTTTTTAATGTCTAAAAACCAATGAAAGTGAATGAGAGCGGAAGGATTCCAAAATTCCAAAAGGATTCCAATGGTTGTGGCCACTCTTATGTAAAGAATACGGTCAATAAGAAACTCTTAAATAATACTACAATTTGAATGTAACAGACTCATTATAATAGTATTAAACTATTCAGCATTAAAGAATTTGAACTGTCTTTCTCCAAAGTGTTTGACAGTTTAACTCTACATCTTTAAAAACAAGTTTTATTACAAACATGCAATACTTATCTGATGTTTAAGACAGATGATACTAGTTTGGATAGCAGATGGTTGGATGGAATGAGTAAACAAGCATACTATGAGAAAAACAAGTGTGTTTATAGGGAGCAGAGCTTGGTTGCCCTCTTAAATATTAACCATTGATGCTATTAAAAATAATTCAGATAAACTTTTGCAAAAAATCAACTCCAAAAACAAGTCATAAGTGTAAAGCAGGCTCATTTTTAATAGTTTTTAATATTCTAGCAGAAAAAGTACAGTTAAATCGACCACATAAACACACATTTTGATCAGAAGCGTGAAGACACATGCTGTGATTAAACTGAATGGCATTACTTTACATCTGATAGTTGCTTTCTGCTGTGGCTGATAGTGATGCATCACAGGTTCAGTTATCAGGCAGACAAGCCAGTGACGGCTTTTCAGCAAACCCTCACTCACCGTCTCCTTTCATCTGTTGAGCAGATTAAGATAAACAGCAGAGGAAGGCCAGAGAGTGTATGTCTTGAACATGTCCAGTTCTGAGAAATGATGGCCTCCCCCATATTCCCAGTTGAGGAGTCCACAGTCATGCAGGATCTAGTAAGTTCTGAAAAAATAATGTCTCAATGGTTATTTAATTAAATCATATTTCCGTAATGAGATGAGACATTGTATATGAGTGCTCTGATAGGGATTATCGTATCCTATTTAGTATAATTATTTTAAACGTTGAATATTTAATATATATATATATATATATATATATATATATATATATATATATATATATATATATATATATATATATATATATATATAATTATATATATATATAATTTTTAAATGTATTTGTATATATTCAATGTATAAAATATAGAATGTAAATTATATACAATGCTCAGCATAAATGAGTACAGCCCACTTAGAAAATGAAAGTTTTTATCCATTTCTCAGTCAATTGGTTATATATTTTGTGTATTTAAACAAAACAGATATGTTAAACAGATTTGTTTATTAAAATTTTATTTTAGTGACCCAACATCTTTAGAAATAGAAAGATAATACATTTAAATTTATGCAAAATACTGCAAAAAACAATTACAAACTATAAAATTTCCGAAAAAACTCATATATTTTTGGCTTCTTTTGATTTTTGCTCTTTTTAAAAATGGTGTTTAATATTTTCCCCTAACATATAAATTTGGGTTACTACTTTTGGACGGGTATTTTGTCATATTAGCTTCAGATTTGGCCTCAGTACTGGCTAATCTAATGTATATGCACAAATATAATATTGTAAAGCATCCTATGTTAATTTAAATGTGGGATTTGTGGGGGGTGTACTCATATATGCTGGTAGATGTTTACATTAGATGTTGCCTAGGCTGTTGTTGTCTATGCGTCAAAAGAGCCGCCATTTTAGTTCATGGTAGCGCTCC